TTAATCGGGATTATGGACATTGACTTTAGTGGCATTGTTAAGCATTAGTGTTGGTGATGGTTGGTGTTCATGTTGGAGACACATGACTGACGTTTGTGACATTGAGAATCGATGTTGGCAACAATAAGCATCAACATTAGCAATGATGAGGGTCAGTGTTGGTGACCATGAAAATTTGTGCTAGTGGTAATCTTAAATTCTTCATTATTATTTGTTAATTAGTAATAGTGAGTGTTGGCATTATTGGTTGTGGGCACCAATGATGTTGATGTTATTGGGCATTGACGGGCATAGCTCTAGAAATTTCTGCAAAATTTTTCTCTTAGATCCTCGCAAAGGCCTCCTTTTTTTTTTTTGAAAGAAGACATTTTATTAGAAACACAAAACAAAACATACAGCCACTAACCAAAAACAAACTGAAAGAAAGAAAAAAAAACCACAAAATCTAACAATAAAAATTACAAGCTAACAAATTGGCTCAGCAAACGGTCAAGGCTCCAGCGTCGACGAAGTCTTGCACGGACCGTCCAGTTAGTGACCCAGTTAGCCAACCCGAAAAACCACACCAACGGTTGCCACCAGCAAAAACAATCGAGACGCAAGCCTCGACCACATCATAGCCCTTAGCCTCATATAACACCAAATCCAACCAGAAAAACCAAACGATTCCGAAGAGAGACAAAGAGGAGAACACCATAGTAACAATCAACGTTTGCACCGTCCTCTCCCCCAAAATTTTCCCCTAGTGGCAACAGTTTTAGCACGAACAAGAGAAAATTCATTGTCGGATTCAAGAGTATCAGAATCAAGCTCCTCATCCGATGAATCAATGAGCCAATCACCCTGTTTTCGAATCTCAACACCAGAGGAATTACCAACACATTTAGCCAACGCTTGTTCATCAATTTCTAACACTGGGACCTCAACAACACAATTTATGAAAGAAACACCTGCCCCACACAACCCAAATTCTGAGATTCCACCTCTAACCCGACAGAAGCATCGTTTAGGACACCAATTTCACCATCATTCATAGTATACGCACCCACTTCCGTCACAGATACCACAGAGCATCACTTCACATTCGCGTGAATCATTTCCACCAACAAACCAAGGGAAAATAAGGAATAGCATTAGGTGACAGAGCACAATCCACAACCACCTCCGGCAAGTTAACACTCTCACCAGCGACCACCAGACTATTAATTTTTATAACACACAATTGTCCGGCCATCACCACACCTCGCCAAGCAGCCCCGGTTTCAACACAAGACCACGCGGAACGTAATAACAGCCACCTTCGAACATTACAACAGACTCATTAAGAATAAAACCACATTACATTAACTAAAATTTCCAAATCACTCCACTTTGAACACAGGCCATATCAGTCTCCTCTAACATCATCGGCTTTGGGGGAAACAACCAACGTCTGAGGAGAAACCAACAGGAGTGGAATCGATCACACCAATCGGTTCAGAGGCACAACAAGCAGGAATAATCACCTTATTCGGAAAAGCTCAGGAACAAACGCCCCTCTCAAACGACAAATTACCCGATCGGATGCCCGATGCCACTTACAAACAGAAAAAAAATTAGGGAAATTCAATCAAGAATAACCTCTTGAATATAACCAAGGACTCAGAAACCAAGCAAACTTGCTTAGGATAAGATTTGGTAATATCCTAATTCTACAAGACCCTAGCATGGCGACGTGGACGAGAATCCCAAGAAGTTGCTTCGTCGATCTTTTAACGGTTTACAAAAATTTTCAGCCAACCCAAAAGAATGCGAGGAGAAAAAATGGGGCGAAGCCTAGGGATACGAAATCCAATCGGAATAATTCGGAGATTCAACTCCGATGTCGAGAGTGGCGACGCATTCGTTAATTCATGAAACAATTGAAAACATGTATGATCGGTGGCAAAAAATCTGGCAATAATCCAAATCGGGTTGCTGAATTTGATAAGAATGTGAGATTGGTCTAAAAACAGTCACCGAACTTCAACCATTAAGCTTAAGATTGAAAAAAAATTGAGTATAAACTCAAGAGGAGGTTTTTTAGAGGGAAAAAATCCCACTAAAGAAAATTGGAAGGGAAGAGCAAGTTCAGAAATTTCAATATCCGAAACCCACAGAGACGGTAAACCACGAAAAGTTGCCTTCCGAAGCTCCGGGAAAATAGTTTTCGAACCAGCAAGCGCCTCACGAAAAGAGCGAGAGTGAGAAACCCCACCCAAAAAACAAGGATCTTTGAGCTTAGAGGCCATGCCGATACGACGGAACGACCCAAAGAAAAACAACAGAACAGAAAAACGAGAAGGGGAAAGAAGTACTTCCCGGAAGCTAGCCGAAATCCGAAGAGATCCACCCACGGGGACGCCCCGGAGAGGAGAAGCCCTCGCCCGCCCAGCGGCGCGAAAGAAAAATCGCAAACCCTAGAGCCGTTGTCGAGTTGAATTGCAAAGGCCTCCTTAAATGTATAGAAGCACAATTTATTTAAAGATTTATGAAATGGGCTTTTTATTTGTTTCTACCATAACTCAAAATATTTCATAGTCCAATCAACGACGAATCCTAATATTTTTAACACCTTAGTATTTTAATGATAAATGAATTAATTAAGTAATTTTAGGCTCACTAGATTTTTCTTGTTGAGAAGCTCCCTTCAACCATCTGCACGCAAAAAATAAAAAATCTTTTGATCCTTTAAACAATCTCAAGTATTTTGTAATTATTTCATGCTAGAAAATACACGATGATAAAGATATAACTTTTGTGTCCTAATGTTTTACAAAGATTCAACATGTAAAGCTAACAATATATATATATATATATATATATTTTAAGCACACATGCATAAGAATTAAGTGAAACATCTAAAAAGAGAGAAAAATAACGAGGCATGGTTGGATGAAATGATCCACTATGTAGATATCTTGCAAGAGTTCCTTCCCACCCTCGATGGGAGAAAATGATATTATAATGTAATACAAGTTATGCTTCTATGATTGAGGAAGAGAAAGTTGGAGATGCAACGGTTTTATGGTGTTAGTAATATGATGATGATCACATGGTAATACGAGGGAGATGATAGTCAAAAGATAATGGTGTTTATAATATGGCGGATAAATTATGATGATCTAGTGACAGTGGTCAAACAAAATCAGTTAGGAGGTGATAGTCGCAATATAACATTTAAGTGATGGTGGTCAAACAATGATAGTCAGATGATGACAATGATTGTCAGTGATCATCGAGGTCAAAAGTCAAATAGTGCTCGAGTTTTTCAGATATCCAAGTTCTCTTTAAATTCAACTATATGTCCCTTTCATGTGAAAAATTTTTATTTATATTTTGGGAGTATCATTCTAGTAAATTCTGCTAAATTTCTATAACACTTCTTCAGGCACATCATATTAAATCATTTGATCATAGATCATTTTTTTAACATTTAGGCACATTAATAATCTAAAAAATCTAATGATCTTAGGCTTTTTAGATTCATCATATTGAGTTGCTCGATTTGATTATAAGCATGTAAAATTTGAAGATTGTTTGATGCTCAGTCAATGCTCTAAAGCTTTTAACTGTATCTCAACTATTTGATTTGGACTTGGATCAAATTAAGTACTTTCGATTTGATTTTTCTTTGTCTAGACGTTTTGTTTGGCAGTAAGTTTTAAGTATTTTACATATAAGTTTGAAAGTGTTCAATATAAATAGTGCATCAAAATTCGTGATGATCTAGTAAATATTTTTGAGACATTTCAATAATTATATACTGAGTAATCAATTTAAATACATTTGGGCTTAAACCAAAATTTATTAGTATCGTTGAATTTATCTCATTCAAACGTTGCTTCAACTATGCATATTTAACACGTAAGGACCTTAATTTTTTTATAAAAGAACCTCTTAAAATTTTTTTTCTAACATTTGGGTCAATTAAAGCAAATTCACACATAAATCATATATATAATTTTCGAACTCAAAATCTCTTAGTTGATAACCAAAACTCCAAACCAACAGGCCACGATAAACTACTTCTCCTTAACAAAGTAATGATCATATTAAAAAAAAAATTAAAAAAGTAATGATCACATTTGTTCAGCTTGGAATGCGTTTGAAAATGAATAAATTATTACGTGAAAAGTCCGAATGCAGCTCTGCATCCGGACTCCAATGAAATCGTATCACGTGGAGTTATACATACGGTGTTTAAGCTTATACACAATGTAGAAATCGAAACTCTAATGAAATCGTAACATGAGGAGTGTCTACAACTCTACGTGTCACGATTTCATTGAAGTCCAAACCCAGATAATAATTTATGGTGGAATGAGGCAATTGCTATGGGGAACAAAAAATTCTCTTATGATATTTCATAACAGTGCTTGATGCGTTACTTAGAATTATGATTATTTGATTGATTTCAAAATGATCTTGGGCTCGTTGGATTTGTCTCGTCGAGCCGTTCGATTCGAGTATAAGCTCGTCAAAATCGGAGACCGTTTGGTAACTCAAATTGCGGTTTGAACCTTCCAACAGCGCTTTGAACTCTTGATTCGGACTTATTTGGGCTCGGATTGGGTCGATCTTGGTGTTGTTGGGTTCGTATTTCCGAGACGCTCAGTTTGACTGTAAGATCGTTGAAATCGGAGTTCGGATGCTCTCGGATTTAATTTTTGAAGTCTCCAACTAGTTTTTGCCTCGAGATTCGTGCCTGATCAAGCTAATTTTGTGATGATGTATCAATATTAATGGTATTTTGACGTGATTTAAAAATTTAAATATAGAAAAAATAGATATTAGTTATGCAAATAGATAAAATTTTTATGATATATAATTTATAAATCCCCAAAAAAATTACATTATTAGCCCAAACCCATTTTTTATGTATCAATTACATACATAACATACAAAATTTTGTCTATTTATATAATCACCCTCCAACTTTAGTATTTGCATGTCTTATGATTATATTATTGAAAATTTCATAAAAACAAAAAGTATGAGCTAAATTTTGTTGTGCATAACTAAACTTTAGAAAATATATTTACATAATATTCACTTTTTTTTTTTCATTTAAATATTTCGTACAAGAGAAGCATATCTATATGGGAGAAGTAATTTCGCCTGGACGGCAATCTCTAACATGAACATCGATAATATTTTTATCATTTTTCTTTGCTCCACAGCATTGTCTCCTCGGTGCCTATCATTGTCAATTGAATCAAAATTAGAAAAATAAAAAATAAAAAATATATATATAATATGCTACTATTTATCTTGTAAAATTAATAGAAAAAAATAGGGTCAAATTCTCTCACCTTATTTTATTAAGATAATTTAAAAAAATTGACAACAACAACAACAACATTAAGCCTTTATCCCACTACGTGGGGTCGGCTACATGAATCTTTTTTCTTCATTGTGTCTTATTAAAAATCAAATTCTCGTTTATATCTAATAAAGAAAGGTCATTTCTAATATTTTCTAACCAAGTCTTTTTAGGTCTACCCCTGCATTTTTTAACACAAGTCAAATCTAATACATCTACTCTCCTAATCGGGTCATCGGAAGGCCGCATTTTTATGTGACCAAACCATCTAAGGCGACTCTCTCTAATATCTTATCTTCTACTGGAGCTACTCCAACCTTTTCACGTATATGCTCATTTCGTATCCTATCTCTAAGGGTAAAGCCACTCATCCACCTGAGCATCTTCATCTCTGCCACACTTAACTTAGTATTATGCTTCTCCTTTAATGGCCAACATTCGGCACCATAAAGCATTGCAGGCCTCACTACCATCTTATAAAATTTCCCGTTAAGTTTGAGGGGTACATTTCTATCACATAACAAGCCCGATGCATTCCTCCACTTCAACTATCCAACTTAAATTCTACTGATAATATACCCATCTATTTCACTATCACTCTGAACAATAGATCCAAGATATCTAAAATGTGTACTCTTTAAAATTGACAAGTTCATAAAAATTGACAAGCATAAATATTTTATAACACTTATTCCGCTAATAATATATAGATAGTTTAATATTTTCATATTTGATCATAAATTTTATAATAAATATCTTGATTATTTTTAAATTTATCTACAAATTAAAATCGTTTAATTTTATGATATTTAAATATAATAAAACTATTAAATATTGTTTTTTAAGGTCATTTGATTCAAATTGAGTCAATACCCTAACCTATCCTTTCAAAAATAGTTTTTTTTCTCTTTAAATAAAATAAAATTATATAAATGTAACTCAATAGAAAATAAAATAGTTAATATACTTTAAGATGAGCGCTATTCGCACTAATCTAAAGAAACTCTAATCATTTTCAGCAACACTAAAAACAAAAAGTACCTTTCTCCATAGCATAGGATCCATCCTGCTCGCCGTAACCCTCACCTTCTTCACCGCGCCCATTGCCTCAAACCCTAACTTCCCACACCTCTCCTTTCCTTCATCCCCCCACCCATGCCGCCGGTATTCCGTCACCGTCCCCTCCCTGCGCTCCTCCACCGCCTCCAAAAAATACCGCAACGGCCTCTCACACGGCCGGCTCGGCACCGCCAACTCCCTCGTATTGAAGGTAAAATGCCTTATATCCGACGTCTTCCAGGTCCTAAAAGTTCGTATCGGAACCTCTAATTCCTTGGGAGATAAGAGCCATGGATAGATCTGGGCGGTGTATCCCCACGAGACGGAGATCGACCAGTTGAGTCGGCGCTCATGAAGGTAGCAGAAGGATTGCTGAAGCGCGCGGGGTTGGTCGGCGCGCGTGGCGTTGATGAGGGAGCGGAGGGCTTGGAGTTGGGAATGGAAGAGAGGGGAGATGGGTGGAACGTAGTCGAGGTGGTGGAGGGAGAGAAGCGGCGCGATTGGGTGCGCGGCGAGCAGGCCGTAGATGTCTCCCCTGAGATCCACCTGTCATTATTACCTTACAAGTCAATATTTTTTTGATGAAAAATCAACACGTTAATAGTAATTAAGAAAAAAATTATAGTAAGTTAAGTAAATTTAAAGAGGATTGAAACTTACTAATTTTGTGGCATGACAATTGCTATGTTTCATTAAATCATATAAATTGTTTGCTTATTTGTTTAAAAAATTTTTAAAAATGGCTATCAAGTTGGATTAGAATTTTTCGGATTGTTTTGAGATTAGTGCGATATATGAGTATCAATTACATTAATCTTAAATCAAATTTAATGTTATTTAGCTCATTTTAATATAATTTGTATGAAAATATATGACATTTTTTTTAAGAATTAATTTTTTTTAGCATAATATTTTGAATTGCCTAAATTATGTGAATCATGAAATTTTGGTTTTGTTTGGGGTAGTTTAAGCTTTTTTATTCTTTTAAAAAATGCTTTGCAAAACATTTTCTTAAAGAGAAAATTTTGAAATAATAGTGAAAAAGTCAAAAAGTTGTATTTCAAAATATATTATATTTTACTAACTATTTTTTTTATCACAAATGTAATTGAAAAACTATTCCAAACAAATTTTAATTGTTTAGTGTTGAAACATTTGTGAATGGTAGAGAGATACAAGGTTTAACCTCCTAGCTTTGTATAAATATCCAACACACATGGAGAAAAAAAAACGGCCTCCAAGAGTTATAAGAGATACTAGAATTTTTATGTTGAAATTCTAAAAGGGAAAAAACCACAGGATCTTTCCCAATTAAAATGATTATAATAGGGCTTGCTATTGGTTACAAAGGATGCCCTTTCTCGGAGGAAGGCATTGACATATTGTGCAAATATAAATCATATAAATGTATTACATGGTTAGAGTTAGAAGAATCCAATGACTTGAGAATTATTCTTAAGAGAACATTGGCCTATCGTTTGGCCAATATGATCATAATCAGGTGTTTGAGGTCAAAGGGATCGTAGTCGGACGATTGAGATCGAAGGGATCGTTGTTAGTTGATAGAAGTCAGAGGCATCGTAGTCAGCGGGCAACGACGGTCATATGGACAGTAGTCGATGGATAACGAAGGTTAGAGGGACCGTTATCATGTGATAGAGGTTGGAGGGACCGTAGTCAGGGGGCAACGGAGGTCGGAGGGACCATAATCGACAGAAGAAGGTGGTTGGAGGGACCGTAGTCGGAGGAAAATAGAGGTCAGAGGGACCATAGTCGGTAGACGATGGTGGTTAGAGAGACCATAGTCGACGCATGACAGAGGTCACTGTTGAGATTCTTGGAGGAAGAAATTGTTCTTCTTGGAAGAGAAGGAGATACTGGTAAGGAGAGCATAACTTGGAGAAAAAAACATTAAAGTTTTATTCAATTTTCCCCACAATACGTCAACCTATAACATCTATATATAGGTATTTATATTGGTGTGATGTCTTGCAGATCAACACAACTAAAAACTGGACGAATCTTAACAATCTCCACACTACAGGAAAAAAGTTTCAACAACACTTAATTTTGACTTTAGCAGCGGTTTTTACAGCCACAAAAGCTATTATTGGGACCGTCGTAGTTGATGTCTGCTACAAAGCTTTTTTATCGCGTTTTTGCAACCAATGGAGACAAGGGTTAAATCAATTATATTAGAAGCAGTTTAAACCGCCACAGATGTTCCAACTAAGCAATGGTTTAAATCGCCGCTAATGTTCCAGATAAGCAGTGGTTTAAATTGCCACTGAAGTTCCATATTCGAAGCGGTGTAAACTGCCTCTATATATCCAGTTTTGATTATGCCAGGAGAAATTGGCGGCATGAACTGTAGAATGAGCATGATATGAAGTGTCTCGACTTGTAGTCGGAAGCTTGTACAGGCCATTCCTACATGGCCCTTGAAGAAGCACTTCTTGAGAAAGTTTTAGCTTACGATCAGGCAGTGATAACAAACCTGCACCGGAGTTAGCAATGTTTATAGTGCTGCCATCTCCGATGATTACTCCGTCTTGTCCGTGATATGGAGCGGAAACAGAGAGGTTTTCGAGTGAGTTCGTTAGGTGCGAAGATGCACCTGAGTCAAGCAACCATTCGGAGTTGTTTCTTGTATTACCCGCAGCAAAAGCCGTAGGTTGATTTGTGGTTGTCTGCGGTATGTAGCTCAGATTCGATCGGTGCCAGCATGAGGAGGCCGCATGACCTTTCTTGAAGCAGATTTGACAGATCGTAGTAGCGTGCGGGTTGGATCTCTGAGAGTTCGGCATGTTTGGTGGACCCTTTCCGCGAGCACGTCTGCCTCGACCACGAGTGGAATAGAGAGCTGTAGTCGGGTCTGGACTTGCAGAGTTCCGGGACGCATCAGATGCCAAGTTTATTTCTTCACTAAGAAGAAGCGCATACAGATTATCAAGACTAATGGGTGTTAGCATTGTGCGAATGGCAGTCTTGAATGACTGATATGAGGGAGGAAGACCATTGAGGATGTATAATATGATATCCTCAGTGTCAATAGTAGATCCAGCGGAGGCGATGTTATCAACTAAAGATTTAATATCAGCAAGATATTGAGTCATAGAAGAATTTTTGAGGGAAATATGATGTAACTCATTCTTTAGCTGAATTACTTTTGACCGATTTGAGGATTGAAAACGTTGGGCTAAAGTATCCCAGATGGCTGCAGTGGATTCCAGTTGGATAATATACGGAAGAACAGGGGCAGAAATGGTGGAGCAGATAGCCGCCGAGAGGTTTTGGTCCGTGAGATGCCATTGAACAAACTCAGGATTAGGCGAAGAAGAAGATCCGTCGGAGTGAGGAAAAGTACGGGACGGAGCGGAAATATTCGAATCAAGAAACGGTGCAAAACCGTTTGCAGAAAAAACTTTTAGGATTTGAGATCTCCATATGGAATAATTTTCAGGAGAAAGTTGGATTTGAACAATGGATTTGAGATTAGAAACAACAAATTTGAGTGTAGAGGAGAGCACCGGTGGATCTTGCGTGATGGATGCTTCTCGTTCTTCTATCTGAGATGATCCCGTAGTTGCCATTTAGCGCGATTCTTGATCTCCTGGTGTCTGATACCATGTAGAATCTCAGTTCTTGGACTGAGTTTGCAAAGGCAGAGAGAAAGAAAGGTAAAGTGTGAACATGACAAACAGAGAAATTATTATTACTCGTCCTTTACAGAGTACATGTATTACATATTTATAGATGTGTTTGTAAGACAATACAAGTGCTGTCCAGTCTTATTATGCCACGTGTGAGAGCTGTTTTGTTGCATTTGCTTTATCTGCTAATATAAATTGCCACTGAAGTTCCATATTTGAAGCGGTGTAAACTGCCTCTATATATCCAATTTTGAGGCGGTGTAAATCATTACTATATTAATAGATATTTTTTAAAAATTTATATTTACTTATTAAGAAATTTCCAGTCTATCGGGTAAGATAGCAATTACGGTCTGCCGAGTGTAAGCAGTTGTTTACACAAGCTAGGGCACGAGAGGAGAGAGTCGGGCTTTATGGTGACTACAACAACATGTAAGCGATTGCTCTAATGATGAAGAGAAGCTGGCTGGAAAAGTTCGAGGGGGAGAAGGAGTTGGTCCTGGGAGGCAAACACGAGAAGTCGTTGAGCGGGAACTAAGGCTCAGAGAGGATGCAAAATACCTGCAATCAACCTTAATACCTCTTATGTTGGGTGAGAGGGTAGTAAGAGGGAAACTATGATTGGTTGTCACTCGAGTGTGCTTGATCCAAGTTGTTATTCTCAAGAGTTAGGGCATAGGAGGTGAGTCGAGCTTTATGGTGACTGCAGTGGCATGTAAGTTGCTGGTCAAATGACAAAGAGAGTCTAGGGGAAGAAGTTCAAGAGTGTGAGCTTGGCAATACAGGGAGAAGGAGGTGGTTCTGGGAGATAGATGCACGCAAGAGGAGCTCGAGAGAGAGCTAACTAGTGCACAGGAGTATACCAAATTATGTGATTTGATCTGTTGTGGGATTATAAATACTAATGGAAATAACACTTTAAATTGCTTATATAAATATCCTTTTGCATCAGTTTAAAAAAGATGTAACTGACTACCATAAAAAAAATTTCATTTTTAGTAGTGCCACCTTGGTCTAGATTTTACAATGAATATCAAAGAATCATATGTTTGCAAGAACTGGTATTTGCTGCAATCTAACCGGCTCCTTACACTAACTCTACGAGCAAACATGTCGAGCCGAGCCCAATCCGGCTCGAAGTTTACCTCTAATGTGCATTCTAATTTACAGTTTCAGCTCGTGCTCCCGTGAGTTCTAAATCACGTGTTCCTGTGTGTATCGTTGATCCTCCCGTGATCTGCACTCTTGTGCCTTGTGCATTGTCTGCTCCTACGCGGCACACCCATGCTCCAGCATCGAGCATCCTTCGGGTTGTCAATTTTCATCTGGCACCTGTGTGCGCTCCGTCATCCAACTTCACATGAGCCACCCATCCAATCTCGAGTCTAGTGCCCTCTTCTTATTCACTCCTGTGTGCGATTGCCTCCTGTGTGATCTACTCAAATGTTCTTGATCCTGATGTCCCGATTGATATTGTGTTTTTATCGTCGCTACTCTGACACACCAAACCTGAAAGACTATGTTTGATGATTTTCCCGTGTTCTGACCTAGAAGTTCCACTTTAAAAGATCTAAACAGATATTTGGCAAGAACATGAAAATCTCACTTCCAATTTACCTCGCGCTTGATATTGACGCCCGATTATCTCCTGCAATGCACCAGCCTGCGAGACCCACGATATCGCCTGCACGACTTAATTTCATGCAGCACTAGACGACCTATCTATGGCGTTCCAACCTATGATCCGCCAAACTACAGTGCTCTAGCCTAAGCTCTGAGCCCTGCATAGTTTGTCACGACGTTCTCTTGATTGAAAGAAAACTTCCTCCTCCTTGATCACCTCCACGAGGCTCTAATACCAATTTGTTAGAATTTCTTGGAGAGGAAGATCACTTTCTTGAATGTAGAGGGAGAAATGGAGAGCACATAAGGTTTTCTTGGAGAGGGAAAAACTAAACTTGATTTTATTCTTATTCCCTAGATACAAACTAGGCAAACAAAATATATATAAATACTGGTATAGTGTCTTGCTGATCAACACAGCTAAAAACATGAGAAATCCTAAAATTCAGGGGGACCATAGTTAGAGGTGCGACGGAGGTTGGAGGGACCGTAGTCGGTTGATAGTTGTTAAAGGGATCGTAGTCAGGCGGGCGACAAAGGATGAAGGGACTGTAGTCGGTGGGTGATGGTGGTCGGAGGGACTGTAGTCAGTGAGCAAAGGAAGTCAGAGGGGCCGTGGTCAGACGATGGAGGTCAGAGGGACCATAGTCGGGCGATAGAAGTCGATGAGACCGTTGACGGGCGATAAAGGTCGGAGGGATCGTAATCGGCAGGCAATGGTGATCCCATGATTTTTATCCTTTTTAGGGTTTTCACGTAAAAATTCTAGTTTTTCTTATGACCCTTGCATCCCTCTTTATTATATGTGTGTGTATCAGATCTTCATACACACTTAGGACGATAAACCCTTTATCTCTCTACCATCATGAATGCTTAGGCAAACAAAATTATATTGTAAATTTAACTAAATGATGAGATTGAAAATTCTACATAAATCTCACCAAATACGACACTAAGCAAACTGCAAAGACCCATTCAAAAGAGAAATTATTGAGTGCGAACGACTATCATATTTGAATAAGTATGACATTTGAATTAGTGAGTCCTCAATCAATCTATTTTAATACAAAGGAGACTAATTCAACATAGTTGCACAGTATATAATAATTTCTCCAAGCAAAAGGTTAAAACTTTCAATAATTTTTTTTAATAAGCTATCATTCTTTTATTTTTATATATTAAATTTTCATTCAAATATTTGTTGTTAAAAAAAAAAAAAAAAAATCTTACCTGATGAAACCCCGGTTCTCTTGTAAGCGGAACCCCAATCTCACTAAAACAAGCATGCACGCGCTGATCACTACCGTACAGACGGTCATACCTCCTAAGACACCCATCAATCCCTCCGGCGAGCGCCGCCGCGGCCGGGTAACTGACGGCGAACCCGCCGCCCCCATACGCCATGCCATAAGAATGCTTCTCGTCCTGCTCCACACTCTCCGACGCCGCCCCCACGTAATACATCTCCTCATGATCATACTTCCCGAGCACCGCCGCCATATTCTCCGGAAAGAATATTGTATCATCGTCTCCCATCACAAACCACCGTACCCCCTCCACCCCCATTCCGTACTCCTCCGCCGCTATTCTCGCAATCCGCGCCGCCTGTTTCGCGGCCGGTTTCGACACCCGCCACGGCGGGCACGTGTCCGGCCACTCCGTAGGCGCCACGTCCAGCCACACGTGGCCCCGCATCTTCCCTGGCTTCCACCAGAGTTCGCAGTACTCCCGCCGCCGTTGCCAGGTCTTCGTTGACCCGCCGATCGCGAAGATGATGTGGGAAAGGTTTGTTGGAGAGGGAAGATCGCCGGAGGCGATGAGCGTTATTGCTGGAATAGTTTTGGTCGAGCGGAAGAAGTAAAGAAAAACGGCGGTTGATAAGATGAGGAGAGCGTAGAGGAAAGCCTTGGCTGCTCGTCGAAGAATTTTTCCGGCGAGCTCCGGCTGGGGGAAGTAGGGTTTGCAGATACTACTCATCGCGCTTTCGTCCATGACGAAGAATTTGCAGCAAGAGGGGTATTTGCTAGAACTTAATGCTAATGATTATCACATACTATTCAAACAAGATACGCGTTATACAATATTTTAAAAAAAATCTTATAAAATATTAATTATGTTTATAACATGCAAATTTTTTAAAGAAAAAAGTTAAATTAGTCACTTGACTTTTTCTTTTAAAAGCATCCATTTTATCATTGACTCTCTAAATAAAAATTAAGGCTTTATTTGAGGGACTTTTTTTCTGCTTTCAAAAGCAGTTTTTTAGCACAAAAATTCAATAAAAGCTGCAAAAAAAAAAAAAAAAACAAAAATTATTAT